CCTGCCGAAAGCCGCATCCATCCTGGGAGGCAGGGGAAGATGGCAGAAACCATGAAAGACTCTTCTAATCATTAGTTCAGACTCTTTTCAACCAAGGCAAAATAAATAATATATATATATTTTTTTGAGTTGGAGTCTCACTCTGTCACCCAGACTGGAGTGCAGGGGCCGCTCCCGGCCACCGCAGCCTCGACCTGCTGGGCTCCGGCGATCCTTCCGCCTCAGCCTTCAAGTAGCCGGGATTACAGGCATGCGCTACCACGCCCAGCTGATTTTTTGATTTATTGTAGAGATGAGGTCTCGCTGCCCATGCGGGTCTCGAACCCGCGGGCTCAGGCAATCCACTCACCTCAGCCTCCCAAAGGCAATAAATAACATTTTTTAAAAGCAGCTTAGTATATGGAATCTTGATTCATTTGAACTAAGTAGGTGGGCTAGAGTAAAATGGTGGAGATTTCAATCCCAAAGATGCTCTGCCATGCATAGCCTGAAAGATCTTATTGAAAAATGCACATGTGCAGGGAATAAGATTTCCAACACCAGCACAACCTCTTTCTTGCCTCCCAAGTGGCATGTCATTAAATCTTGAAAAATAGGAATGTGAGAAGGGAAACTGTATTGCATCCCAACTGGGACTCAGAGATTTTTCTATAGAATCAAATTTGGACTCTCCCATTGCATAATTAAATGACCAAGTGAAACTTTACCTGGATCAGACTCACCAAAGAGTAAAACCAAGATTCCTATGTAGACTTTTTATTCTTAAATTTTAGATTATAATGTGCTAACAAATCTGCAAGAATGCCCAGGATCTCATTTAGATAGCCACAGATGCCCCTCTGGGAAAAAAAAGAAGTTGATATATGGAAAAGATAGACACAAGTATCAGAGCCCTCTTTGGGAAAAGAAGTCAAAAAGAATTATACGATATGAGAGAAAACTGCTTTTGAATAGTGGTAAAGGAACTGGCTCAGAGAATTGGCCCAAACAATTCCCTACAGAGAATGGGTCATGACACTGTTTTTGGCACAAAGACACAATTCAGCCTCAGTTTCCACACTGAAAAGTTGAGGATGAGACCACTTCCCATGACTAGTAGCTCACATGGCATGATATCCATTGATGAGGAGGCACTGAGATCAGGTTGTCTTTCTTGCTTATTTTAGCAGCTGCTGACAAGTCCCTGGCAGGATTGGCTGGATCCCTACTGCCCTACCTGTTTGCAGAACATGACGCTTCTCACTGACTAGCTGGACTTTCATAGAGAGAAGCTTTTCCTCTTAAATGTCTGGTTAACCGGGCTCGGGGGCTCAGCCTGTAATCCCAGCACTTTGGGAGGCTGAGGTGAGTGGATTGCCTGAGCCCGCGGGTTCGAGACCCGCCCGACCCACTTGGCAAGACCTCATCTCTACAATAAATCAAAACTTAACCGGGCGTGGTAGCACACGCCTGTAGTTCTAGCTACTCGGAAGACTGAGGCAGAAGGATCACCGGAGCCCAGCAGGTCGAGGCTGCCGTGGCCGGGAGCGGCCATTGCACTCCAGTCTGGGCAACGGAGTGAGACTCCGACTCAAAAAAAAGAAAGTTTGGTTACCTTGAAATACAGTTTGAACAGAAAAGGCAGGTCACATGTTTTACTGCTCCCCTCAACTTTTTATATTTTTTCTTCGAGGCAGGGTCTCACTGTTTTCCAGGCTGGAGTGCAGTGGCACAGTCACGGCTCAAGGGGTCCTCCTGCCTCAACTTCTCAAGCACTGGGACTACAGGCCTGAGCCATGATGTTCCATTACACGACTCTTCTAATCATTAGTTCAAAATCTTTTGAACCAATGCAACTAATAAATAGTATTTTTTAAAAGCTGCGTAATACGTGGAATCTTGATTCATTTGAGCTAGCCAATCATGGAGAAAAGTCAGTTACTGGGACTCCCACTGCAGAGGAGTTCCGGTCATTGTGGCATCCAACACTCAGGCGTGCCAGTAAGGTGGACACCTATCACAAAGGATGACTAGTCACTGGAGCACCCATTATTCAGGAGGCATATTAAGTGGGACACCTATCAGAGAGGAGGGCTGGTATCTGGGGCAACCATTATGGATGAGGGACATGGACTGTGGCACTGATCACAGAGGTGTCTCAGTCACTGGTCCAACAATCACAGAGGAAAGCCAATCTTTGGGCACTCATCACAGAGAGATCCAGAGACTGGGGCACCTATCATATAGGAGGGCTAGTCATTAAGGCATCTATTATAGATGACAGACAGTTATTGGGACATTCATCACAGATGAGTGCCAGTCACTGGGTCATCCATCAATGAGGAATTACAGTTACTGGAGCACATATTATAGAGGAGGGCCACGGACTGGAGCACTCATTACAGTAAAAGGCTACTCACTGGGACAGCCATCAGACAGGTCAGCCAGTCAATGCGACAGCCATCACAGAGGAGAGCCAGTCACAGAGGCACCCATCACAGAAGAGGGCCAGTCATGGGGCACCCATCAGGAGGGGCTAAGCCACTGGAGCACCGATCATTGTTCCATCATAAAGGAAGCAATGTCAGTGTGGTATACATCAGAAAGGAGGTCTATTCAATGGGGTAACTATCACAGAGTAGGCACAGTCACTGGGGCACCACACAAAGAGGGTCAGTCACGGAGACACCCATCGCAAAGGATAGCCAGGCACTGAAGGGATCGTCCCTGTGGCGCCCAGTTTGGAGAAGGACCGGTTACTGGGGCTCCAACCAGAGGGTAGGCCCAGCGAATGGAGCACCTTTTATGGAGGAGGACCAAGCACTGGGACACCCATCACAGAGGAGAGCCAGGCACAGAGGCACCCATCACAGTCACTAAGGCTGCCATTATGGAGGAGGCCAATCTTTGGGATGAGGAGCCTGGAAACTACCCACCTGACACTGGAAGTCCCCATGGGGTCTCCAACTTTGTCATCACACATCGTGTCTTTTGTTTTTCTCCTTGGAGGTCTATGTTTTGAAATATGGTGTATTCCAAACAAGATACACTCCACATTGTTCTATTTTCCATTTTAATGAACAAAGACATACATAACTGCAAAAGACGTATGTAACAGAGCAAAACTTCTGATCAGAAAACAAATGTGATCAAGACAAATTGATATAATTCAAGCCAAGTGAAAAGAAAATTTCCTAGGCTTATAGCTGATTAGATATTCATACTTTTTTTGTTCAGCCTTGAGAGTTAACTCATCACAAAACTTAACTCCTCACAACTAGAGAAGACTTGTTGAAGCTCAAAAGGCTTTGAATCTGTGTTCTACAATCTCCGACACTGCGTCGGAGGGGAAGCTCAGAAAACCTCACTTCATAGCTGGATCCGTGGCTGCCCTGGGGGTGCCCTTGGGGCAAGGCCTCAGGAACGGAAGGCACAGAGGTCCCCTCTCAGCAACTCTAGGGACCAGCACGACTGCGTCTCAGTGTTTTGTAAGATCCAGCAAGCGGTCGCTCCATTTCCTCAAACAGCATTCATAGGTGTTGGGACATCTTCCAATTTTGTATTCCTCTTCCTGACATTTCTGCCGGCAGCGAGCAGTCCCGTAACCACATACTCTGTTCATTTCGAATTCGCTTCTCACTAGATAACAGGAGAAGTCACTGTGATCCATGGTGTGCCAGACCCCAAAGCCAAGACTTTGTCAGCAGTTTTTTTGGGGGCGGGGGACAGCGAATGTACGTGGTGATGGAGGTCTTTCCAACACCCCCCACCTCTCTACTTTTTGGCTGATTCCCAACCTCAGCATGATTCTTAAAAAAATCTATAAATCAATGTGACACTGCTTTTAAAAATCCCTAAAACAGTTTATCATTACTTCTGTATTAAATCCAGTCACACACCTTACCAGTTCTCCAAGGCTTCTTCTATTTTTTTTTTTTTTAAGTCAGAGTCTCCCTCTGTCACCCAGGCTGGAATGCAGTGGCACACTCACAGCCACCCCAGCATCAACCTGCTGGGCTCAGAAGAACCTTCTGCCTCAGCCTTCCAAGTAGCCAGAACTACAGGTGTGAGCTACCATGCCCAGCTAATTTTTTGTTTTTATTGTAGAGATGAGGTCTTGTCAAGTTGCCCGGGCTGGTCTTGAACCCGGGCTGGTCTTGAACCTGAGTCTTGAACTCAGGCGATCCACTTGCCTCAGCCTCCCAAAGTGCTGGGTCTTTTTTTTTTTTGAGTCAGAGTCCCCCTCTGTCACCCAGGCTGGAATGCAGGGGCACACCTGGCTAATTTTCTGATTTTTTTTTTGGAGAGACGTAGTCTCCCTATGTTGCCTAGGCTGATCTTGAACTCCTGGGTTCTAGAGATTTTTCTGGCCTCAGCCTCCCAACGATCTGGGATTACAGGCCTGGGTCACTCTGCCCAGCCTCAGAAGCTGTCTTGAGCTAATCCTGGGCCACCCCTTCAAATGCAGCCCGTTCCAGTGCGGCCCTTCTCTTCCTAGGACGCCCACACCGGCCTCCGCTCCGTTCCTTCTGCACGAGCCCCTCGGATCCCAGCGCCTTCACCCGCGCGACTCATCAGTTTTCCTCCCCTCCCATGAATGAGTTCTTTGAACTTTCACCCCCTCAACCTTGAGGTCCCAACTCCGGAAAAGCCTCTCCCTGTCCTCTTCACATAGTCAAATGCGCCAAAGCTATTTTCTTCCCTATGCATTTTTAAATTCTTCCCTACCATCTCTCCCGATTGCACATATCTTGCTGTTTTCTGCTTTCCTCAATGGAACTGTGAGCTCTCTGAGCGCAAGGACGGCGTTCATGTCCCTCCTCCTTATATACCCTGGGCCAGGCCCACAGCATGGGCTCAGGAAGTACCTGATGAGTAAATGATTGCATGGCTAGGCTAGAATACACCAGAATCGAAACGAGGGGGGCTGAGGAAACGAGACCAGAGCAGAATTCTGACTGTTGGGCTCTTGGCCTGGAGCAGTTGGCCAGAGACCTGGATTTAGCGTCTCTGTCTCTGGGTGTGCTCTCTCAGACTGGAGGCGGCTCTTTTAACCTCGTTCCCTCACACGCCACACGGGGAACACCTTACAGTGATGCCAGGAGCGCCCAGGAGCAAGGCTGATGCTATTAAAAAAGATACCTGCACACGCATGTTTATCGCCGCATTGTTCACAATAGCAAGATCATGGAACCAACCGTGCTGTCCATCAAAAGAGGACTGGATTAAAAAAATGTGGTCCATATATGCAATGGAGTATTATGCAGCCATAAAAAAGAATAAAATCATGAATTTTGCAGCAACCTGAATGGAATTAGAATTTATAATACTGCTGGGCTCGGTGGCTCAGCCTGTAATCCCATGCTTTGGGAGGCTGAGGTGAGTGGATTGCCTGAGCCCGCGGGTTCAAGACCA